CCCCAAAACCCCAAAACCCCAAAACCCCAAAACCCCAAAACCCCAAAACCCCTGATAAATATATAATTTTTGAAAATCTAAATGTCAGTAACTCCAGGCGAAGAGGTAGCGCAAGAAGAGGTTGCCCCTGGCAACCCTCTCGAGAGCAAGCTTGCAACCTACAAACAGAAGTTAAAGATTCTTAAATAAGGCATATATTGAGGAACAGAGTGAAAAGGAGGCTTTTAAGAAACAAATCCTTTCCTTATGTAACACAAATGAGAAGCTACAGAAAGATTTAGAAGAGATGGAGCAGAAGTACCTCAACTGATACCGGAATAACCAAGAGCTTCATGACCAGATTATTCAAGAGAAATCTAATACCTCCGGAAGTAGAGGTAGCCTCTACTGGGGTAACAACTCCACAAAGGAGTCTGATCGAAAGTACAGCTCTGGTTCTGCTAATGGGCAAAACGAGCAGGTACTGACTCTAAAAATCAATCAACTTGAGGAGAAGATCAAACATCTTAAGGATGAAATTGAAGAGAAAGAGCATGAAATCGAAGAGAAGCAGCATGAAACCCGAGACACAGAAGATCGACTCAGAGAAGTAGCCAAGGAGCTCAGCCAATACAAGGATGAATTCGAGACCGAGAAGACCAAGCTCCATGAACAATTTGATGCAAAGAAGAAAGAATTAGATACTAAAATCCAGAGAATTCTTGCTGAAGAGCAGGAGTTTAAAGCAGCCCAAGAAAGAATAGCTAAAGATAAAATTCAAGAAGTTGTAGAGAAGGAGACTAAAGAGAGGGATGCTCTTAAGGAAAGAATAGAGGTAAGCAATTTTGAGGCCTAATAAATCATTATTCTATCCTATCCAGTTAGTTCATTAAAATGAGCATTAAAGTCAGTAATCTGGACATGCAGATAGACTCTTGGCTTTGGAAAGATTAGCTAACTTCATTAAAACTTCACTTGTATTTATTCTGCTCTACATCCTTGCTGATGTGCTAAAAGCTTTTTTTAGGTACTGGAAAAGGAGCTAAATGATAAAGATGACCAATTTCTTAAGCAAGGAGTCCAGATGGATGAAATCAAGACCAAATTGACCATATCTCAAGAGAACGAGGTGAAGCTTCAGAATGATAACGATTGTCAGAAAGAGATGATCGAAGCAATGCAAAAGATCTTACAGAAACACGAGAAGGACAACCAGATGCTAGCAGAGAAATTGGTAGCTTTTAAGCAGCAAATCATTGATTCTGATAAGTTCAAGACTGAGAACCAGAAGTATGAGGGGCTCAGGTACACCTCTTTTGGGAAAGGTCGCGCTACTCTGTACTTCATCGAGGAGAATGTTGGGAATAATAAGACCGATACTAAATTCTCCCTCGTACTAGAGTACGGTAGTGGGAAAGCATTTAAAATTTCTATTGCAGAAATGACAGATTTTTATAAGATAGAGGGCACCAATCAAATATGATTCTCATGGCCAGACAAATCATGGCTAAAGAAGAACAGAACAGAGACTTTTGAGACCCCTTATGCAGAGATTATTGTGGAGAAGTATCTCAGAATTATAGAAGAAATGGAAGAAATCCAAGAGAGACATACACCAGCTTAAGTCAGGTGAAGCTATTTTTAAATAAATTATCAACTTTACTTGATTAGTAAGGGGTTTTGGGGTTTTGGGGTTTTGGGGTTTTGGGGTTTTGGGG